GAAAATGCTCTTTCCATCTCTCTATTTGGTCATTTGTTGTAGTAAGTAGTTCTCCTGTCTTGGATCTTACGACGTTTGAACAGTTGGACCCACTTTTTGTTAGACGTCTGGTAATTTGGTATAGCTCTCTAGTTCTATTGTGTTGTGCAGCTATTTCGGCTTGTTTTGCCAGTTCTTCAGTCCATCTTCTTTTTTGTCTCTTCTTGCATTTCTTTTAACTGCTTTATTTATTGTTTCATATTCTTGTTGTCGGTTCGCTCTTTCTTCTACAGTTCTTGCTTGCAGAATATCTTTTTTTTGCTGTTTTCTTTCTTCGATAAGATTCCAAGTTTCATCTGATATCCATTCTTTTCTATGTTTCTCTTTTTTACCGAGTTTATCTTCAGCTATTTCTGTCAAAACATTTGCCAGATCTTCCCAGCTATTTACTTCACGTTCTCTTCTTTTGAGTTGAAGTTCCTCCCTAAACATGTGTCTTCCTGTAGCCGTTTTTAATTTGTCTAGATTGTATGTTGGTCGTTTGGTGTTTCGTGTGATTTTGTTTTTTGCCATTTTGATTTTAATGGTACCGATTACAAGATGATGGTCACTTGCGATGTCTTGCGCCATTATGTTAATAACAGATTAAAGGAAAGAATTACAAAATATGATGGATGAATTAAATAGCGAGTCAACAAAAATAGGTCTACAAATGAATTATAATAAAACGAAGATTATGACCAACCAACCAGAAGAATTAATAATTACAATTGCACAGGCAACTATGGAACAAGTCAAAGAATATGTATATTTGGGACAACTAGTTAAATTAAATAAAGAAAATCAGACAGGAGAAATAAAGAGAAGGATACAGTTGGCTTGGGAATCCTTCGGAAAACTTTCCTATATACTAAAAAATAGAAGATACCCCCAATATTTAAAAACAAGAGTCTTCAACCAATGTATACTTCCTGTTCTCACCTACGGTTCTCAAACTTGGATTTACAAAGGAAAACATGGAAAAAATAGCAAAGACCTACAGAGCCATGGAAAGGCAAATACTGAACATCAGGCTACCAGACAAGAAAATAAATACTTGGATTCGCAACAAAACAAAAGTGACTGATGTATCAACGCAGATAGCAAAGCTTAAGTGGAAGTTCGATGGATATACCATAAGACAGAAAGAATAAGATGATTATACACTGGAGACCATACAGTTACAAACGAAAAAGAGGAAGGCGACAAATGAGATGGTCAGATGACTTGAAGAAACACGCAGACCCGAAGTGGATACAAACTGCCTACAATAGAGCAACCTGGAAGAAGGAAGAGGAGGCCTATGTCCAAAATTGGAAAGCAAGGGCTGTATAGCTAGATAGATAGATATGTCCATGGCTGAACATTCTCATGTTGAGTACAAATGAGTGTAAAAGTCTCAAAGAAGTGAACTTAGTGCCTTTTAACTCTAACAAAATGATATTTGGCATTTTTTTATTATTATATAATGGCGTTGACTTAGCCAATAAGCCAGAACAATATTGTCAATATCAAATTATAACTGGAGACCTTACTGACTCCTGTTAATTAAAAGTCAATTTGATAACCTCCAACCATTACTTTTATTTCAACGGCTTGATATGAATTCTGAAAGTTAATGAATAGTGCAATTGGGTAATATCGCACCTCCAATACAACAGCGCCACAACTCAAAATTATAGCTTTTCCGAGGAAAGCCATTTGAAAATTTCAATAACCATTATAAAGTCAGACTTAAATTTTTGTTAAACTGATCATTATTATTAACATAGATAAAACCTTTCTCAATATTTATAAAGGCAATAAATTACTCGAAAATGAAAATTTAATTAAAAAAAAACAAATTTTTATATTTACGGCCCTATTGCAGTGCATGTTTTGATCTGTTTATTGTGAAATTTAGAAATGTGTCTCAGTTTTTTAAAGAATTTTAATTAACGGTATGCTAAAAAATGGTATTATATTTTGGCTCTTATTATAATAAGGCAAAGAAACAATAATGTAAAAACAATACAAACTTTTAAGAAATGTATATTTTTATTAGAATCTCTTTTTTAAAAGTTAGGCAATAAAAAATAAGTGTACAAATGCAATTATTAGTAGACATTACTGCATAACAAACCAAGTTTATTTATTTTTAAATGAGTTTAAAAAATTCAAATTTTATTAAAGTTTAGTTTATTATTTATTAAAGATTAAACAAAAATAAAAATTAATTATGAAATGACAATCATTTTGGTTATTTTGACTTCATATTAGTCCGACTCGCTTTCCAATTCACCTGGAATTAAATTTAAGAAAAACTGTTGGTGTACTAGTGGAATTATATTAGATTTACAGCGATCTACAAGATCTTTTACTTTTGCAGCTGGTACTTTAGGACTGGTTATGTATGCTTTATGCAATTTGAATTCCAAAGATCGTCCTCGCATTTGTCGCCTTATATTAATTTGGTTGAACTTTGTTTCACTTTAGTCTGTTTTGTAAAAAATTATAAATGGATTGTCTTTTTCAAAGCACTCTTATTTTTGATAAAAGTTTTAAATTCATTATCTCGGATGTGGATAGTTCCTTGACATCATAAGACTTCCCTTGCTAAACGCAGAATTGGAGTCCATTGTGTTGGAGTGTATATTGGTCCTGATTTAAGCATTCGTTTTTTCTGCTTTTCAATGACAAAATGCATAATATCCCCTTCATTCTGTGTATGACCAACAATGAGGTATTTGTGTTCTATACTTTGAATATCTAAATTTTTATTGCATACAGGTACAAAATGGCTATACCTTTATTTTTATTCTACCCACAGCAATTGTCAGAATAAAAATTTACTTTATTTTTCCCCATGCGATGTTCTTGTAGGTACATAAGAACACAGCTGCCAATTTCATTTACCCCTCGTTTTGCAACAGATTCTTTCCAAAAGTAACACATACCATTAATGCTCGTAGTATTATAAATAGTGAAATTAAAACAATTTAATTTTCTTTTATAATACAAAACAGAAATTTCTCCACATGGTGCTTGAAGTACTGATTGTAAATCATAGCAGGCACCCAAACTATTTCCTGACTCTCTTGCAATTTTAATATCATTTATTTTTCTAACCTACTCAATTCTTTTTGTCTTAAATGATACTACTTTTGTTTAAGGTTTTCATCGGTATCGGGTGTGTTTTTGTAGCTCTCACACAAGGAACACTGATCTTTTTTCGGGGTAAAAAAAGATATATTATATTCTGTGTTGAACACTTTTTCATAAATACAATTTTTGGCAGGATCTTTTAAAAGTGCCTTTTGATGTGCCTTATACAAGCGATACAGTTCAGCCAGGCTCAAAATCCCATCTAAATACTCACGACAGCTTTGAGCACGAAGATAGTGAGACTCCATACGAGGGAATGAATTGATATGGTTTTTAATATCATTTTTTACGTCGTCTGAGGTTTTTCTTTGATTTCCATGTAAATCCCTCTTTTCTTTTTCAAAGACAACATTTTCATCCAATTTTTTTAAGGTATTTCTAATAAATTTATCTCCTATATCTAATGTACGCATATAAAATGTATTACAAACCCTTACTCTTTCTTCATTACAAATGAAGTTGTAAGCAATATTATTTCCTTTGTTACTGCCCTCTGTCTTCATTCTTTACTTCGGAGTGACTTTACAGGTGTTGGCCAAAACAAAATTTCGTTGCAAAGCGTGATCTGCTAATCCCCAGAATTATCGATTGATATGGGCTTGTTTTTCTGTATTTATTTTGGATGAACACTGATGACGACAACTCTTCCACAAACTTCTTTCACAGTACGAGAAGAAATGACATTATTAGTTGCTGTTACAGACTCCTCGCTGGAATTAACCTTTTGTTTTTTAATATTTCTTTGCCATTGGTTCCCATTTCGTATCCTTTTTCGTGGCTTAAAATTACATACACTACCTTCTATAATTTTTGTAACTACACTACGTTTACTAATATTATCCTTTCTTTCATTATTACTACAGCTAATGCCACTACTATCATTATTAATTACGTAATTAAGTTTAATAATATCCCTATTCTTATAGTTACTAGTATAAGTAACACAAGTGACATTATCATTAACATTATCTAGTACTAATACATCTTTATGTCTTTAATCTTTAAATATCAGAAAAAGAGTCTGAATCTCGTGAGGAATGAGGAATGTAATCTGGATCAACATCCTGTTGGCGCATTTCTTTTGAAGAGTTCTAAAAGAAAACATTAGATTCTTATCATATTGATGTAGGTCAAAACTCTCTATTTTTATTAAGTATGTTTATACACTTAAAACAATTACGAGTATTATTGTAAGATAACACTTACAAAGACTGAAGATTCTTTCAGTATATTGGAATTTTCTGTGTCCAGGTCAATCTGTTTTTCAACACCGTTTTCTGATTCATTTTCAGTTAATTTCAGTGTCGTACAAATGATTGGTTCATCACTGATGAATTGTGAATTCACTTCACATACTGAACAATTACTGAACTACAGAAACTACTATAGTTTGACAAAACTAACCTCAATTGTATGTAAACAGAAAAATGGAAGCCAATTCAATGGTGCAATAGGGCCACAATTTGAAATGTTGCCATATTGTACTAGAATGATACCCAATCATTTCTGTTCAACAAAGTCGGAGCTTGAATTGCGTCCTTATTGCATTTTATATTTTGAGAAAATGAATTAAACCAATAAGGAATTATCTAAAATAATTTCATTTTTTATTGAAATTGGAGATACGGCCTTATGGCATGACATAAAATGAAACAAGACAAGCGGAAAAAAGACTAAATCACGTAAATCAATATTTTTGAGATATGGCCCTCTTACATTGGAGGTGCGATATGATACTTTAAAACTTTAAGATATATTCTTACTTTTGTGGGTCTGAGAGAATGTACATTACCAGCAAAATATAAAACATGCATAAATATAATTATTACAATACATACCAACTCTGGAAGGCATTTTTTCTGATGTAGCTGTAGCAAAGAATCATTATTTTTATCAACCAACAAACACATGTCATCTTCAACCATTTTAAAACAAGTCCTGCATATCCTAGATTGCTTATAAAAATCATTTTCTCTTAATCCAACTAGATCTTCTAAATCTAATTCTTTGGAATTGTTTGTTTTATAACTATAAATATTATCTTCAATTTCTAGACAAGTGGATTTGAAATTAAATATACTTTTTACAAGTCTATCGCAGTTTTCACATACTGCTACCTTGTTCAAGTATGGTAACTGTAAAAGATTATTATAATTACTAATGTGATATAAACAAATAAACCTAGTTTAAATAAGTTGGAAATAGAAAACTCATTTGATTATCTATCAAAAATTTTAAAAAAATATAAGAAAAATGCTGAAAATAGCTATAAAGAATTTAAATCAGTATGCTGAAGGTAAAGCGCACCGTCACAAATTTGAAATTTTACATGATGTGTGTTAATAACCATTCTTTCATAAACTCTTGTCTAAATTACTTTTAAGTTTATTAGCTTTCTAAATAATACTATTCAAAACACAATATATTGTAATATTAAACTTGATTATTTTGAATTAAAAAAATAACACAATGTTGAGATACTTAGTGCTTTTTATCTATTAAATATCTCTTGGGTCATGGTACCATATGCTTACTCAAAATGCATTCTGCAGCGTTAAACTTTGAATTGATTGACTAGCTTATAGATGAACACAGGTATATATTAAAACAGGTTGTTTTTCAGCATCAACTTTTCTTAAGACAAACCGAGCTCCTTTTCCATCAGACTATGAGTTGAATTAATTAAAGTCCTCACATTTAATATTGCATACATTGTGTGCGGTTTATTTAATAGATATTTGGCATACAAATTGTTGTCCAGTCCTAAGACTTCTTTGGACTCAGTATTGTCATGTTTGGTACCCTTCTCCTTTCAATGTGACAGTAAAATTTACTGTCCCACTACATACTATTTACTAGTGTCTGCTTACATATGAGTATGACCCTTTAACAAAAACTTGTGATCTATTTGTTTAATCTATTGGAATGTCTTCAAGATCCTGAAATATATGATCATGATTAATGTCTGTACTCTTATTTTGATCATAACACTTGTCTTTCTATATGGTTATTTGTTGAATGATAGTCAGGTATTATACACTATTTGCCTCTTTTAATAAACAAGAAGCCTTTTTTATTGTGACAAGCTGCTTTACATTTGTCTCAGATCATGCAATTTACTGGAGTCAAACAAATCATATATCATGAAGTTAAAATTTCATAATTTGCTCTTATAAAAGTGGTGCTGTTTGTAATCAAAGGTGTAGATAAGCTCTTGAGAGCAGAAGTCAAAACTTTATATCTTGGATTATCCTTGGAAAGCTTGGTATCTCGATTTTTTAAATCATATAATTTCTTTGTCTTTGCAAGATATCCTTCATTATCACCTGTGTATATATTATTTCTTTGCTCTGGATTTAGTTAATTCTTGAGCCTAGCAATAAACAGATCATAAATGTCACAAGTGTTTATACCAGATAATTTAAAGAGTGTTTAATTATTTGTTAACACATCATTAAACAATATAATGTCCTTTGTACTCCATAATCAGTTGTATTTACTTATTATATTAACTTATTTACTGAATAGAACTAAACAAAATTGCAAAAAGTATTACTCAATTATATACTCAATTACTAGTCTACAACATATGATGAAAGGCACTATATCTATCTCCAGATGATACTATAACAATAGAAATGCACACAGAAGTATCATTCTTATGTCCACTTGGTGACCTGACAAAATGTGACATGATACTTTTTTTAAATTGATTAACTTTGTTATTTTTTGAAGTACGACATAGTGTAGTATATTTATGTGTAGAGTACAAAAGTAACAAAAGTATAACTACAGTATTATCTGAATATTAACAAAAATGGATATAGTGCCCTTCAACCCCAGCATAGAGAAATAATTCAATGACAGTTTTTGGAATAAAATATGATATTGAAGAAAAAAGTTAAAAATAAAAACAATCAATTCAAAACAAAGAATGATATACTCAACATGTGATAAAAATTAAATTAAAAAAAAACAATGCAGCAAGGAACAGAAGAGGAGTATGGCAATAAGATAGAATAAATCTACAAGTAAAATATAAAAGGAGGAATGTGTAGAATAAAGCCAAGAAAGGCAAGAGGCTTAGTTGGTATACATTCCAAGATGAGAAAGTAGTTGAATAAAGTAGGTTAGAAATATTTAGTAGTTTAACAAATTGGAGAGAGAGTTACTAAATATATAAGAAATGAGATGAAGTGGAATTTACAAATGATAAGGTTATTTGTTTTTGATCAGCTCTAGCTCAATACAGATTAAAGTAGACACACCTTTTCTTATTATATAGTAGGTAGATCCTATACTAAATGAAATTTAATAGAAACAAAAAATTGATCTTATAATACTAAATGAAATTTAGTTTCTTTTTCTGGTACCTAATTAAATACATAATGATTCTTGTGTTAAACTGTGTAAAAAGGCTTTTTAACCTACTAAATAATTTTCATAAATAATCCAAACATATTCTTACCACATCTGGGATTACAATTTGAATCATGTCTAAGAAAACTTCTGTGACACTATCTGTACTAGTTCTTTTTAAACAGAATCCACAAATGTTGATTACTTCTTTATTTTTCTCCATGTTTATTTTATAAATATTGAGTTAGAAAACATTTTACAATTAACTATGTAAAAGTTAAGTCATTTGGCAGTATGTACCCTTTTAAAAAACAATACTAACTTAACTTATATTTTCCCCCAAAGAAGCAAACCAGATGATATTAATTGTGTTGCTTTTACAATAATTATAAATACAATATAAAACGCATGACCTTGTTGTACTATCTGCTATTTTGCGGTGTTATTTGAACATTCCTTTGACTACATATTTATTTTTCAAAGAAAATTCATATGTTGTACACATTGTTTTGATTAGAATTTAAAAGGTAAAATTGACAAATAATAAGAGGTTAACTTAACTCGTTAACGTTACCGAAAATATATACAAGCTGAATTAAGCCGCAAATGTCAATCATGGATCAACAGTTTACGGTTTAGCAGTGTGAAGTTAGTCAGCACGTAAACGCCATGTTTTAGATGGAAAAATAGACTCGAATTCATGATACTATGACCACGGAATAATAAACAATATTTATTTATTGTTTATTATTCTGTGCGATGACCATGGCCTGGAATCTTATATGAATGACTTGGTTCATTCCCCATCCAATGACGTATAATATATAGACTCAGTGAACGCTTTAAAAAGTGTCCAAAACATAAATACCTTTGTTATTGTTTATTGTTTTGATACGAAGATGCACGAAGTTCATGATTTCTTACGAAGCATCACGAAGTTGAGCTTGTGTTTGAAAACATCATGGACGTATGAAAACATTTTCTCCATTTTGTGTGACAAGCAAATTTTATTTTAAATTGTTGAGAGTTATTTACTTACTATTTTAGTAAAATGTCATACTATTTTATCAAAATAATTATTTCTCTTATAGATGGGTACAAAAAGAAATCATAAATATTTAATTTTAATTAAAAAAAGAATTATTGTCATTAACTTATAAATGAGCACGCCGCTGTTTTGATAAACATACCTTCAACCTTGAGAGGAGATCTTTCGGACACTCGATTCTATAGCGAGAATAGGGGACCATAGCACACTACCACCTAGCATTGAAACTTCCGTGTTGACGAGTAAAACAATGATTGGCGCATCACCTAGTGACCGGGCGCCTAACTATAAATACATGGCGCGAAATTCAAAATTTTTGTAATATTACCTAGGATTGTGAACTCATTTTAAAGTAAAGGAAAATCGATATAATCTTAAAATAACAAGAAAAATCCTTATCCTATACGATAATAAATATTTTTCGTATACTTTTTGGGTTTTCTTGTTATGTTGAGACTATATTTATTTTACATTACATTAAAATGCCAAAGTGGTCAAAAAATTAAAGAATAAAATATAGAATAAAATCTTTATTTATAAAAATATTACAAGAAATGTTATATGTGTTACAAGAAATATTAATAATACAAGCCAAGTGGACTATAATTTAGTTTTCTTAATGTTGTGGCAAGAACTGGTCAGTATTTAAATAATTGTTTTGTCTTAGTATGTCAAGTTTTATGTAAATAGAAGCCTAATTCTGCAAAAGGCCTTTTACTACAATTTTATTCTCAAAATTTGCAAAGAATTCAAACATTGGTATATAACATTCAAGATTTTTTTAGAAAGCAATTAATCTAAAGATAAATCCCTAGAAGACAAAATAAGTACATGCTTGTAATAAATTTAGTCTATAATTACATAAGCGAAGCAATCAATGGGGAAAACCAATTGCTTTTTTCACACCTACTCTCACAGATTCAGAATGAAAACATGCAAATGCATTGAAGTATTAAAAAAATGCAGACATTATCTGGTAGGAAAGCAATTCAAACCAATCACAGATTAAATCACTATTTTGTTTATATAGAATGCTGGCATATATAAAATCTGACAAGGAGAACTAGCTTTACTTCACAAGAATTTATTAATTATCTCCACTCTAAAGGAATATTTGAAGTAGAACAACACCATATAACCATGAAGGAAATGGTTAAGTTGAAAGATACAATGAGTTATATGGAAATTGGTGAATCTAGCATTGAAAACCAAATATTTAGACATCACTAAATGAAAAACTGCTTTACCAGGAGCTCTGTACTATATAAGAAGTTTACTATTGAATTGTTATATTATTGAATCACGATAATGATGAAGATGAAGTCCAAATAACACATTAGAGAATTCCACTACTAAATCAATGCCAGATGTGACAGAAAATTTACCTGTTCAAAAACCTGATGATAATTATGAACCAAGATTGGAAAATTCAGATTTTCAATCTAGCTGTAAATCAGCTGGAGCTAAAAATAAACCAAGATAGTTGCAATATTTTGTTCACAAATAGAGAAGGGTAAATGTAGTATAATTTAGTGTTCTAAATCTTGTGACAAGAACTTGTCAGTAATTAAATAATTTTTTTGGAATCCTAATGTCAAATGAAAGCCTAATAAGCAACAGACAGCTGTCAGACATTCTGAGTTCTTTGTAGTACTTACATCCTAATCTAATAACACACACTACCAGTGGTCAGTGAGAACTCTTACTGTCTGGCGTTCTACTCACAGAAAAACAGAACTCAAGAACTCTGCTAAGTTGGAAACAGAAAAATTAAATGATTTAGTTCTAGAAAGAACTTTATATACATTTATATGATAATATTTTAGTCATATTTAAACCTATAAACCCAACAGTTAGCTCTAAGATTCTAAGATCCAGCACTATAAAGATGGAAAAATAACATTAAAAATAAAAAAATATGTAAAGTATTACCTAGTTACAATAATAATATGAAGTATTTTACAAAGTTACGTTTCCAAACTCTATCTTACCAGTAACTCTTTTCTACTAATATTTATATATTTATTGAGAGACATATTAAATACATTTAGATTTAGGTTGTTCTTTTGATTAAAAGTACATAGATGAGACAAACCATGATAATATATGGTACTCTAAGACCAATCTCACTCACAAGAGAGAGACAGATCCCTCCTCGCACTTAACGGCAAGCTCATGGACCTCTCCATATGATAGTGTAGTCATGGTCTGCTAATCTAATCCAACTTTGAAACAGGCACACCTGTAGAAATTATGTCGAACCCTCTCTAAGGTGATGATTTTTTAAGATAGTTGTTGAACCACCACCTACAAAATAATTCAAATAGTAAGCAAGTAAGTCTGATTTTATAATTAGGTTAAATTTATAATTAACTAATTTTATAAGTAAAAGGTCACATACATACATATATTGGCATAATAGTTCTTACCTGGTGCTGGTAAAAACAAACTCAGAAGGGCTGTTCTCGTAATACCGGTATGTCCAACATTAATTATATCATCCTCTTTAAAATGACTAGCGCATACACGAAAATTGTTATAAATAGTTTCTGTTGCAGCATTTTCTAATTAGGGCTTTTAACAGCATTCACCCATTTATCAAACATATCCATATTATAATCTCCTGGACTTGAAAAACGGTATTGCTTGCCAGCGGTAGTGTGCTTGCCTAGTATCCATGCAATCTGGAATACATCTTTTTTGTTCAGTTCTTCGTCACTATATTGTTATTCCATGTAATGTGTTCGATTCCATAATAAAAAATCGTCTAAAATTTTACCTTTTTGCACTACTTATATAAAAAAATTTAAACTATAAAATAAATTATAAAAAATAAAACAAATAAAAATATGGCGCCGTATTTGTCTAAATTCAACTTTTGATTTGACCACAGCACACTCCCTACGCGTAGAAACGAGACTAGCAGCGCCACCAAACGAATGGGCGCCTAAATCCGAACGTGATTTGACATTGCCTATCCCTGTTACCAATCTATAAATTTTATCTATGATAGGGGACTGCGTAGTCTATATATTATACGTCATTGCCCCCATCAGTTTAACCCCTGCGAGTTAATAAAGAAAAATGACAGCCTATCTCTCTCACGAAGACTTTAACGACTTTAACCAGTCATAAACCATTTGAAACTTCCGTATTGACGAGTAAAAGAATGATTGGCGCATCACCTAGTGACCGGGCGCCTAACTATAAATACATGGCGCGAAATTCAAAAGTTTAATAATATTACCTAGGATTGTGAACTCATTTTAAAGTAAAGGAAAATCGATATAATCCTAAAATATCAAGAAAAATCCTTATCCTATACGATAATAAATATTTTTCGTATACTTTTTGGGGTTTCTTGTTATGTTGAGACTATATTTATTTTACATTACATTAAAACGCCAAAGTGGTTAAAAAAATTAAAGAATAAAATATAGAATAAAATCTTTATTTATAAAAATATTACAAGAAATGTTATATGTGTTACAAGAAATATTAATAATACAAGCCAAGTGTACTATAATTTAGTTTTCTTAATGTTGTGGCAAGAACTGGTCAGTATGTAAATAATTGTTTTGTCTTAGTATGTCAAGTTTTATGTAAATAGAAGCCTAATTCTGCAAAAGGCCTTTTACTACAATTTTATTCTCATAATTAGCAAAGAATTCAAACATTTGTATACCTATAACATTCAAGATTTTTTTAGAAAGCAATGAATCTAAAGATAAATCCCTAGAAGACAAAGATAAGTACATGCTTGTAATAAATTTAGTCTATAAGTACATAAGCGAAGCAATCAATGTGGAAAACCAATTGCTTTTTTAACACATACTCTCACAGATTCAAAATGAAAACGTGCAAATGCGTTGAAGTATTAAAAAAATGCAGACATTATCTGGTAGGAAAGCAATTCAAACCAATCACAGATTAAATCACTATTTTGTTTATATATAATGCTGGCATATATAAAATCTGATAAGGAGAACTAACTTTACTTCAAAAGAATTTATTAATTATCTACACTCTCAAGGAATATTTCAAGTAGAACAACACCATATAACCATGAAGGAAATGGTTAAGTTGAAAGATACAATGAGTTATATAGAAATTGGTGAATCTAGCATTGAAAACCAAATATTTAGACATCACTAAATGAAAAACTGCTTTACCAGGAGCTTTGTACTAGGGTAAGTGTACCAGTAATGGACATACCGCTAGTAATGGTCACCTTAAGCCAATTAACGTCATTATATTCATTTCTTATTACATTTTACCGCACATTTTTACATTACCCTGTTGATTATACTATCCATAATACAAGGACGACTTCTGCGCCATCTGACAATGGTTGTTGACTAACTGTCATGCGTAAAACTTTGGCGCGCCAAAAATCAGTTTGTTTTGATCTATCAGACAAGTTGTGTAGTCGTTGGGTTGAAATTAGTCATGCCCCGCGAACTCTAGTAAAAAAAATGTTATTCTATTTA